CCAGACAGGACACTGGTGGATCCCGCTCAAGTGTTTGATCCACATGCAGCTAAATCCGCTCTAGATCGCTGCAGGATAAATGCCTAGCGGCAAGCAGTGTAGGCTGTAGCAGGGGACGCAATGCTGCAGCCAGTGCAAGCTGTCTCATGCAGCTGAATTGGACGTCTTTCCCCATTGAAACCCTTGATTTCAGCCCGTGGTTATCAGGCTGTAACAGCGATTAAATCTATTTCGCTTGATCTTCGCCCAGATTCCCGGATTCCTGCTGTTTTCTTGGGGTGCAAGCTCTTTTATCGCCAGCTCAGCGTCAGGATACTTCAACCACGTCCTTATACTGAGTGCGCCGTAGTTCACTGAGCTATGGCAGCGGCCAGTGTGGCCAATGCTGTGAAAGTCCACATTGATGCGTGGAGTGATATTGCTTGCCCCTGGTGCTATGTCGGAAAGGTGCGCCACCATTCCCCGGGCCAACATGCAGCTGATCTCTGAAACTGGCAAATGATCAAGCCCAGATGCTGCGCCTCTACTTCATTGTTGGAATCGTCGATCAGCTCCACTCTCTCACTGCAACAAATGTCAATCATCATCTATGGAAGCAAGCTCATTCTCAAAACACAGAAGCAAAGGCGGAGGCTTTGCAATTCCATCCTGTTTCAAAAATCTGTCAATAGAAATTCATACGTTGTACAGATTCTCTTCCTGGAGGAATTGACCTGTCAAACAGCGGGCAATGTAAGCCTGTTCATAAGGGGAAAATCTCAGTTTCTGCAGGCACGACTCGATCAAGCTATTCGGAATGTGGAGATGAGGTCTGCTGGAAAGCCCTTGAAGGTGGAAGTAGCATGGTGAGGTTTGCAACTCCATTCAGTTCCTTTCGTTCTGCACCACCTTCTTTTGATAGATGGACAACATTGACTTTGAAATGAGGTTGCGATCTCAATAGCCATCATAGGCCATTGACTTACACCTACAGTATTAAACTTGCCCTTCTGATTTTTGTACAGGTTGCGGTAGACCTTCTGCGGTCAGATAAGAAGGGAGCAGGGAACTCAACCCAGGGAATTCAAGTTACTGATTAAGTAAAGTGGGTCCTTTTGTTGCAGCACTCGGAACAGATCTTTCCAATGTTGCACCGTTCAACGAAAGACAAGTGGCATTAATTCGAATATTGAGCATGTATTTAGTGTGCCTTCTGCGGGCTGACCAGCTGATTCATCTCCAGATTGCGAAGAGATTACCTACTCTTCAAATCTGGCTCAGAATTTGTAAGAATCGACATTCTTTGCATCTAGGCATCCTTACATGATCGACCTGGGGACAAACCCAGCGGGGGAGGACTACCTAGCCTACAACAAGCGGAGATGGGGCTCTGGTGGCTGGACGCAATCATTACGAGGGTGAGGATCGCGTCTGACCATTGCTTGCGCACAATCCCATTCTTCGGCTTGTAACGACATGGGCCTGAGAAAGGAAAGAAGGGAAGGCAAAGAGAGAGAGCGGATATGTTCAGGCCAGACGCTTGTGGTGAATCTGAGACCCGATCAAAGTGACATTAGCTGAGCTGATACCTTTATAAGTCGCCCCTTCAACTTCGACATGCACAGGTGCATCTCCAGTGCAAACTTCAAGGTCGAGAACTGAGTTTCTCAAGTGTCTCAACGATTGCACCCAAAGTACCTCGTCAGAAAGGACATCATCAGGATCATCACTTAAAATTTGGTCAGCGTTCCTTACATTGAAGCAGTCTTTCGTACCACCCTCGTTTAGGGAAGAGAGTTTTTGAAAGCTCTGTCTCCATGCATCTTTCGGGGGTCTGTCAGCTCTGTCTGTCGATCCCTTCGCTCTGAGTGGGGGGTTGCTCATGACATAACCTGCTTTCCTTGCCTGGTGTATAGGTCTGGGGCCAGGAACGGGCTGAAGTTCAAAGACTGGAACCACTGGCCGAATACGCTACATGCTCACAGGTGAGACACGGCTGCAGCAGTCTCTCACGACACCGTGACATCAATACGCTCTTTCAAGTAGCTCGCCGAGTTTCTGTCGGATGTTCTGTTGGGGGAGTCTTCATCAAAAGGAGACAAGCTCAGAGACGCTCTTCGACCAAGAGCATGCATCAACTTGTGACGATCACACCTTGCAACAAGCCGTCTCGTTGTACTCTCGCCGCCGGTCCACCAGGCACGAAACGACGGGTTCGAGATTCCGAAATTGTCCTGGTGAAAACATCTCGCACAGCAATCGGACACACCAATTCAACTGTCCCATCGAACGGTCAATCCCATTGCAGGCTCGTCGATCTTGCGAGCAGCGTCGGGAAGGGACCCGAAGCGGAGGACGTGCTATTCAGGAGAACGTACGAACTCGGACAGAACGTGTCTTCTTTGGACGTCCTGATCGAGGCGGGGCAAGAGCTGGACCTCCCCGGGGTAGAAGAATACCTGGTCAGCCTTTTCTCCCTCTTGCTAGTTGCGTAGGACGTGCTCTTCCGGAAAACGTACGGACTCAGACAGAACGTGTCGTCTTTGGACGTTCTGATGGAGGCGGGGCGGAAGCTGGACATCCCCTGGGTAGAAGAATACCTGGTCAGCCTTTTCTCCCTCTCGCTAGTTGCGTTCGTTCAGGACTCTCGTGAGTGGAGTTCTACTTCCTCTCAGAGTGAAACGATCGGTAAAAGCGCTTCTGGTCAACACCACCAGATATGTCGAGTTTGAAGTTGGTTTGACTTTTCGGGCCGGCTTTGCTATCGTACTGGAAACCTAAAAGTTTCAGCCTCGGAAAGAGTCCCCTATCGGGCTAGCAACATGAGGACGTCGGCTGTCCCGAACCGGTCCGAGAGCCTATATAAGGTCAAGGACGTTGTGTTGAAAGCTCCCGCCTGAATTCAGATTCCCTTTCAGAGTTTCCTTCCTAATGTCACGGACTTGAGAGCGGCGAAGTTGCTTTCCTATTCTTATCCAGAGAGTTTGATGGACCTTCGCGTCAGGGAAGTATCTGGCGGACCTTCTTTGCAAATTGAAGCTTGTAGCCAACTCGTTCTGTCGAATCTCAAGTCCCCTTTGCTTGAAGTATCCGATGTTTTAAACTTGAAGTCCCCCACCGGTCAGATCTTCTTCTGCCGCGGATAGGACCAGCCGAAGACTGCGACGATCTTTTGAGTAGAGACTCAAGGCGACAACCAACGCACCTGTTCTGCGTTTTGCAGAGGTCGGATCAGGGCCTAGCGGAGGTGAAGCAACAAGACCGGGACGCCAAATCCCGAATGCAGATCCGAAGCGTGCCGTACTTTGTCCTTCAACAAGAGTACGCCCTCTCTGGGGCGCAGGTAAGCAGCAATTACGCCGCTAGCTACATTGAGTGCCAGCGACTTACTTACGGCAATCCAACGCAGAGTAGTCTGATTTTATTTATGGTATTGAGTCTGCGTCGAACTGTAAGTGCATGACTGATCTCGGGTGCGCATGTTGGCTTTCTTGTGCGTCAATCCGAGGGGATTCAAACGCGTAGTCTGCTGTCGTGTCAGCAAGTGCTTGTTGGAACTCGTATTGAGGCGACGAGAGAGCATCCAATCCCTCATTCTCTTGTCGACAAGGCGGAAACATAGTTTTCATTTCGTGACTTGATTGCCAGGACGTCAAAACCTTTCAAGAAGCTATCGAACGGGCTGCCGAAATCCAGTAGGAAGGAGAAATGGTGGCGAAACGTGACCCCATCGTACATGCAGCCAGCTGTCACGACAACTCAACGAGATCAATGGTTCAGTACAGTACAGAACGTTGTCACGAGTAAGGAGGAACTCAATTCGCTCAGTAGGGATCGTTCATGCAAGCACCCAATGTCCGAGACAGCGCTGATGAGAAGCAAGAATCAGTATCAATATCCACACCATGCAGTTTGCTAGAGTTCGCGTGAATCAAAGATACTTGCGAGGGCATATGGAGTGAGTTGAAGATGTCATGCATGCATCGATTAGAGCAGTGGCGCATGCATGGATGAGTGCTGGCACGCGACTGAGTATTGCGACGGCTGTATATGCACGGCCGACTGCGTGCATTTGTTCATAAGTGCTGCACTGCATGGGCCCATGCTTGACATATGTACGTCCGGTTAGTTAGTAGTCCGAAACTCATTTCTAACGGTACAGACTGTTCATGGCCGTGGCCGCAAGGTTATATTTGCTGCACAAATGGCAAAGATCATCTAGAAGATGCAAGTCGGATTTTCACGTCGTAAAGCACAAGCTGCACGGAATCCTACAGCAGGAACAGCCCTCAATAATGGCGCTCGTGACTAACAAATGTGTCGAGGCTCATGCAAGACGACAGTCAACCTGGCCAAAAGGAAGCGTAGCTCTTTGTGCGATTGACGTTCAGGTACGAGTGGCTTGCAACAGACCAGAAGCTAACAATGTACAAGTGTTCAATGTACGCAACTCGTGGAGCTGCAGCCTACGCAGTACTGCAATCCTCAGCAAGCTGTGTCGCCTTTGTGATGTACTCCTGCTTCGCCAAGTCCTTGGACTTGCCTGCAAGGAGAGAATGTGAATACGACATTTCAATCCTGTTCTGTAGAGCTCTGCTTGCAAACAACAATAGAGCCTGAAACTCACTCTGTTTGTAGGCAGCGACCAGAAACTTTCACCTCCGCCCACATCTGTTGGTTCTGGACTCCACTTACTTGAGTGCATGCAAACACACACCAGCAGTCTGTACTGAGGCAGGGATGATACTTGTGCACAGGACGTTCAAGCCTTCCGAAGAGACTGCAAACCAGTTTTTGACAGGTTTGTAGCCCCCAACGAATAATCTAACATACCTTCGTTTTTCTTCCAAGCATCCCACTTTGCCTTGCCTTTGGGGTCAAAGAGTCCTGGTCTTGCTGCAAAGAAGATGTCATGGGTGAAGTAATTGCTTGCACCTTGTTCCAGCTTTGACCTCAGAATATGGCTTTTGGATTGCCAAACAAACTAGACTGAAGACGAGCTGCTTATCATGACGAATAAAGAACGTTCGCAGCACTTGCGCAGCTGATCCTCATTGATATGTTTCAAAGCTTGAGCGACCAGTGATTCCATTCTAGGAGATAAGTTTGCTGTCCAACACACAGAAGGCGGCGCCGCAGTCTGCTTTTGCCGACAGCAGCGAACAACATGCCTCATGGTTTGCAGTCGCTTGTGGACGACGCACAGATGTAATCATATGGATGCCACTACGTTTTCTAGAGTGGTTGACAAGCTTCAGAGCAACTTGCACAAGGATTACAACTTCCAACGAAAGGGCATGAAAGAAGACCTATTTTAAACTCACAGGTGTTCACGTCCCCAACGGTTGCCTGCTTGTACAGCCCGTACACGATGAGAAGGTCATCATCGCTTGGTTTCTTCTTGAAGTTGTTGACCTTCTCCACAGCAGCCAAGAAATCCTCCTGCACGCGTGGACAGAATTTGCTTGAGGGCACTCACCAGATCAGCAGTGAGCGGACAGACCTGGGGGTATGAACTTGGTTGAAATGCCCTCTACTCTTTGCCATTGAAAATGGATCACTCCGTTATGATGGCTGAAACCCTGCACTTCTTCAATCGCCGTTCTGCCAGAGACCCTGCACTTGCAATTTGAAAACCCTCGCAACCGCCAGATGTCCAGAGGTCACTATAGAAAACAGCTGATCCATGACCAGGCCCTTGTGAGCTTCCAAAAAGATAGGCGAGTAGATACCCTGTACGGACTTGGAGGACAGCAACATATAGAGGTCTGAATTGATGGAAAAATGAACAGCTGTGAGATAACCGAGAAACAAGCCAGAGATACAAACAAGCCAACAAATAATAAAATCAAACCAATGCTGGCCTCCTTGGGGGAAACCATGCTGAACATGCCGACACGAGCTTTCTGCAAAGCTTTCTGCAAGAGTGTGGGTCTGCGTAGTAACTTCTGAAACGAAGGTAAAGCACGCTATAGGAGCATGGACAGAAATGAAGAATTGGTGCTAGAATGTGATCTAAGAGCCATCGAGGCCCCTGTCGAGCTGCTCTGTTTCAGTCAGCAGACAAATATCAGCCCCACTTCGATTGCGGTCCTCAGTACCAGCATTAAAATCCTTGAGTCCGAAATAGATGAACATGCATCAAAGCTGATGAGACAAACAAGGCCATAATACACAACGGAAGCTGGCACAAAACGACTGGACAAATAGCCCTACCTCGAGCCCCATTGTTGCCCTGATTCTTGTGTCTCCTCTTCCTTGGCGCTTTGTTGTTGGCGACGATATCCGCGAGGACCCAGCTCTTCCTTCAAACTCGTACTATGCTTTCTTGAGAATCTTCTGAGAGAGTGAAACTTCAAGCTCCAGAATGTTGAAAGAGTGAAACTACAACACTGACAGTGAGAGTTCGACTCTCGAGCTCAGACTCGACCGGTCCAGGTCAGCATTTTCGGCTACCGTAGTTCCGGCCGGCCCAAACCCATCATCCGCTGCCGCTCAAAACCTAGAACTCAAGACCCAGGGCCAGGTTTGGTAGAACCCGGCGTCCGCTTGGTGAGAGACGGTGATGAGCCTCGACAGACAACCGACGGTTTTATTATCAATGTCGAAGCGAGCAGGAATATTATACTGTATATGTAAACATAATAATATTAGTAGTCTCTTGAGCGCAGACGCCAGCCAAAATGTTGGCGCAGGCAGAATTGTAAGCGGGCGGACTCCTCATATCCAAACCCGCTAACAAGGTCAAAACGACTTGGCGAGGTCCCAAAACGCTCTCTACAAGTTTCCGCCATCATTGGGTGTCATTCGCCCGGTCCATTTGAATGCCCAAATGTCCATTTTAGCCGGGGAAGACAGAGATAGGTTCACTTCGTCCTTGACACTGAGGGCTCCACCGCTTGCGCTGACCCGAAAATTGGTGGAAATGGTAGCCAACGGGCCATATAAGAGGTTTGTAAATTTTGGTGGACGCGCCCGCCGTGGAGCCCATACGGTCTGCTCGCTACTGGACGCTACATATTCTGGCTGGGCGTCTGCGCCCTCTGCTTGAGCGTGCACATTGTCATGAGCGATCAGTTGGTCTCAAATGCGGACAGCTACCTGAGTTAGCTAGGG